TCCTTGTTTTTCCCTTGAGACGAAATTTTGTTTTCTTGAGTATTTCCTAATTTGGTAGTTTTGGTATGATCGAGAAAGAGTTTTTTTATTTTAAATTTGTTGAGAAAACCATGTCTAGTACTAATTTGACAGCTTAAAATAGTAAGTTATTTATATAAACCAGTGTGTGTGAGTCATTTAATATAAATAACTCACTACAAAAATGTATTTATCTAGAATTCGATTATCATCACACTTTTTTGTGTAATAAAACAAAAATCCAGATCTTTTCTATATCCACTGTAACTCCTAAATCCTCTAGTAAACACTTTATAAGACTTTTAGTTGGTATTAGTTGCCAAATCTAGGAATACAAATATCAAGCAGAATATAACTTTTGTAAAGTAGTCTAAGTAGTATTACACTTGAACATGTTTATATGCCAATTTTTTTTAATGTTATTTAATCAAGTTAGTAGGTTTTCTTTTATAATTTTGTAAACTATAGAAGAAGAAAATAACTTATATGAGAATTGAAAATATATCAAATATAGTTTTAATTATCATAATAACAACTGGATAATTAATGTGCCATAATACCTAAACTGGAAATCACAATCTCAATACCTACTGGATTAGTATATGAATTAACTTTGCATGAGAAATAGTACATAACAGATTATGATGTCAGATACTATGTAGGTTCTATTCAACTGCTTTCATATGGAGTTGAACCAGTATCTTGTGATTTAACTTGTAAAGTACTAAACACTATGCTGTAGACTCACAAGTTATATATAATTGTAATTTTTTTTTAATTAATATTATTATTTTTATAATATTATAATTATAAAAACTATTTTTTTTATATAATTATATAAATACAAGTTTATTAAAATAATTATATAAAAAAAAATAAAAATTTTTAACAAAGAATTATTAAATTAATAATAAAGATAAAGTTTTTTTTGATAATTAATATATAATATTTTTTTTAAATATATATAAATTAAATATTATAATTTTTTGTTTTTATTTATTATTATTTAATTATATATTGCATAATAATTTTAAATATAAAATATCTATTAAAAATTAAATTACATGTTTGAGTTGTAATAAACAATTCTATATTAAATATATTAAATTTTATTAAATATAAATATTTGAAGTATTTACTTATGTTTTGAATATTTTCTAAAATTTTTTTAATACTAAGATATAAAATATATATTGTACAAGAAATATGTATTACATTAAATTAAAATTATATTATCATTTAATATTTAAACTATTATTATAGCAACTGTAAAAAATTTTCTATTGAGATTCTAAGATTCAGTAATTTAAATAAAAGTAATATGAATATTTTTTGAAGTATATGATAAAAATAACTATTTAATTGATAAAATTTTTCCAAAATATATTATTATTTAACCAATATATAATTATTTCAATAAATAATTTATTGATTCATCAATTTCAAATATTGATAATCATATAAATATTTGTTACTTATTGAAAAATATTAATTATTTGTTTACAGCTTTAATTATAAGTTAAATTAATTAGAGTATAAACTTTTTGATCTGAAGATATTTGATAACTTAATTCAAACTTACAGTATATATCATTTTTCAAAATGATTTTAATTGTAAATCAAATAAAAGTAACCAATCTTCAATGATTCATTTAACCACTAATTTGATTAATTCTTATTAATAAATACTTGTTTAATAAAAAATTTTTTTTTCAATATTATGAACTTTTTATAAATTAATTGCAAGATTTGTTATTAAATTATAATGAACTTACATATATTTATTTTAAATAAAGTTCTTCACAAATAATAATTGTAAGTTACTTTGAGCAAAATGTATGTAACCCATATCAAATAATTGTTATATGCAAATTGATTCAATCAAATTTCGAATAACTAATACGAGGACGCCAACTCTTATTGTCACGTGATCCGTAATATTTATGTTGGGGGACCTCATGAATATACTGTATATTGAAAAATGAAGTTGTAAATTTGTTACTGCTTGCAATAACAATTCGGGGACTGGTGTGCATGGACAGTCCGATAATTATTTAACGATTATTACGCGAAATTTATGATTCAAGACAATAATAATACAGGTCGTGTCCTTAGCAATAAAAAAAAAAACTACTGCATCCGTTCGGGAAGACAAACTAAAGTTATCACTTCTAGCACATCATTTGTTTGTATATGTATATTATCTATATCGTACTTATGGATTTCTTCGTTTGGGGTTTTTGAAGAAAGTGTTTGTATGTACACATGTACGTAATTTTTATTTTTTCCGCATCTATTCGCCGCAACTAACATGTACCATATTAGGTACTGTATATAATAAGTAACAGATGAGCTTGGGAAGTCTCTAATAAATACCTACTTGTGTTTTTAATGATAATAATACAATAACGTTCTCACCTTACGTAATACGATACAAGATATGCACCTACTGTATTTAGCAATGACAGTAAAATAATAAGGTTCATTAAACGTCATTTAAGAATGAAGTGATGATAACATAATAGAATCACAATTACTCATAATTAATTCCATAAATAAATATGTTGGGTCTTGTCAAAAATTCCCAAATTACGTTCCTCGCGAGAAAAAACCATAAGAATGGAAATCATTGAGCTTAATAACGAAACCATTAGAAGCGAATCTTTCATGCCGGAGATCGCAAATGAAAAGAATGACACCAGTATTATCACAGGAGTAACCTCATCCGAAGAGAAGAAATTGAAAGGTGAAGTGGCAGAGGAAAGTGAAGAAGAAAGTGGGAAGGAAGAGTGTGTATATGTTGTTGACTACATTGTTGAACACAGATATACCGATAATGTAGGTTCAGTCCTTTCGAAATTATGCATACGCGTCTTGAATGCACAATCTTTCACATGGTCCACTTGCGATTTAGAATGACATTCAGTATTTGATAAAATGGAAAGATTATGAAGAAGATCAGAATACTTGGGAGTTCGTGGATAACATGTAAGCTATTAATGCGTGAATTTTTATATTACCGTTTTCTAACCTGCGAAGATTCATAGTTTGGATAAGGAACTGATTAATACATACTGGGACTCCAAGTATGATAATGGCATGTCATTTGTACAAATGAAACGTTTAATCGATGAGGGTGAAATGTTCTCCAGGCCGTCCTCTACTGGAAATAGGAATAAAACTCGATCGCGTGGATTGCGACCTCCTGGACACGATATTCCACAATTTTATGATCCAGATTGGGATCCTTGTATTGATAATGTTGTTTCCATGTTTCGAGACCCTTCTGACGACGAATTATACGTGGTTCTTTCATGGTACTCATCTTTTCAGCATGTCACATGTTATCGTTACTCTGATACGTGTCCTAATAATATGCCACGTATTTAGGAAATTAGGAAAATTGAGAAGAAAACATACAATACACACGATGGCGGAAGTCAGGCGTAGATGTCCACAAAAGGTTTGTAATTGTTCTATTATCTTCTACAACTTCCGATCTACTGCTGGCTCGATTTCCTTCTGATTGTTTTTTTAAAAGATAATCGAGTTTTTCGAATCCCGATCAGCGTTTAAATACGACGAAGGTAAAGGGATTCTTGATTTTTTTACTGTCGCGTTATGATTACGCAAAATCATCGTATACTGTATCAATTCAACTTTCTTGTTATGTCAGATTTTGCGTGCATAAAGCTCTATTCTTTGGTTACCACAAAAAATGATGCCTAAACATATTGACTTTAAACTAGCATCTTACCAAAATAATACTGTATTTAAAAAAACATAAAATACATTTAAGAAATGTAACATCTTAAAGAAATTAGCATTATGTGAACATCTTTTTGATAAATACAGTAGAGATTTCTTTCCCAAATAAAAAGACATGGGGGCTGTTCTCCGCATGGCATTTTTACAGCATACGTGCAGCTGCATTTGCATTGTTTTCGAGTGAAATTTAAAACTATATTCCGGATTATTTTGCCGGCATATAAAATCCCAATTTCGCGAATTTTTATAGTCATGTGCATAAATGCAAAAAAACGTAAATTTCACTCAAAAGTAATGCAAATGCGGCTGCGCGTACTGTATACTGTATGAGAACACACCCCATGTCTTTTATTTTGGAAAAAAAATCTCTGCTGATAAATACAGCATATTCTTTTTAATCAAGTAAAATACAGGACGCATTTCAAATAATATACTTAACGTTAATCATTCATATCTGTTTTCTATTATAAATAATAATTGTAATTAACAAAAAATCATTAATTTTTCCTAAACAAAAGGTGGCGTGCGTAATAATAATGATTATTAACATTAAGTTATGTACTTGATTGTTAATAAAATTTGATAACCAATATGTTTTATATTTTTATTTGAATATACTGTATATACAAAAAAAATTTTTTTTAGCTTGTAAAAGAATTACAAAATATTTCTTATTGGATATACACGATTTCATTAAATTTATAAAATTTTAAAATATCCAAAAAGTTAGCCTTACTATAAAACTATAATTTTGTAACAATCGATTCAATTAATTTGAAAATTTTTTTTTTTATAATTTTATGTCTTTATTTAACAAATCCATTTATTAAAATAATTAAAAGGTTTTTTTGTCATGTACTTTTTATAATTTATTTAAATAGCATTTAAAAATTCATATTTTTTTAAATCAATATTTTATAAAATTAATAATACTTTTAAAAAAATTTCAGTTGAATTTATTTTTTATATTTTCAAATATATATACAGTGTGAGTCAAAATTATTGGAAAAAATTTTTTATTAATAAACTTTACAACTATCAAAGCAATTTA